GGCGTGGGGATCTGGGCGCAGCTGGCCCAGGGAAGGGGCTTGGGGCTCATGTGGATGGGGGAGCAGTTCCCTGGGCAGGGATCCATCCCCCTGCGGCTGAGGAGCAGCGGGTGCAGGAGGGGCAGTTTGCAGAGCTTCCTACAGCGGGGCAGGGGAAGAGCCCCTCCTGCCCCCGCGATTCCCCCCAAACACTGCAGGGAGGGCAGGACCCTCCTTTGGCTTCCCCAGCAGAAAGTCGTTTTTCGGCAGGGAAGCAAAGAACCTGCAGGGGACAAATCCCGTGCGAGCGCAGTGGCACTGACCCCCCCCCGCAGTAACCTCGCACGGGGGGAGGCCCCTCCGCACAAGCCCCTCCGCGCTGTCCAACTGCCCCACGGCCGCCCAGCTGCAGGGCAGACTGAACCCCCCCCCAGGCCCCGGCTGGGATCTCACTGGACACAGGAGACAGCCCGGCCGAGCTGAAGCGCCTCTTCACAGCGCGGCTCACCCCTCACCCTGGCCCAGAACCAGGGATCTCACTTCCTCTTCTCCTCCCAGCAGCTGGCCCTGGAGCCCGGGCTCGGGCCGTGGGCTCTGGCAAGGCTTCCTTGGCCTTTCTGGGAAAGCACCTGCCTCTCTCCCCTGCCAACACGCTCCCCATTCAGAGCGCACAGTAAGGCAGTGACTGCTGAGAGCCAGCCAGGAGCACAACCGCTAGTTCTGGCTCCAGCGCTCACAGGGCAGGCTCTGCGCACGGGCCCCCCCGCCGCTGGGGGGGAGGCTGCACCGGAAGCACAGACAAGCGGCTAAAGTTGCTAATCAGACCCCGGAGCTGGAGCTGGGATGCGAAGTCCCTTTGCGGCCCAATGGCCCCTGCGAATTCCAGCTCCCGACCGGCCCCTTGGGCACGTGCTCAGTCCAGATTTTCAACGCCCCACCTGGCACTCCTTGCGAGACTGCCCAGGCCCCGGAGCGGTCAGCATTGTCCCCTAGCGTTCCGGTCCTCGCCGGGTGTCTGCCCCATCTCCGCCAGCTGACCCCCCCCCTGCTCAGACGCTGCCTTGCCAGGTAAGCCCTGTGCCTGCCCGGAGTGGCCCATCCGACTGTCGGGGAAGCAAGCAAGAAGCAGCCCTGTCCCCAGGCCAGACCCCGAGAGGGCTAGTCCCAGCCGGCAGGGTGCAGGCAGCTGCTCAGAGCGGGACGCCCAGCCCCTCCCTAGCGAGGCGGGTTAAGTGCAGGGGAGCAACGGACAGGAAATGCCACCCAGTCATTTGAAGACAGCGACAACCCCGCCCCGGCCAAGGCCACCCCAAACCCGAGCGCCACGGAGCCGCTCTCCTACCCGAGTATGGAGTGCTGCTCAGGCTGCCGTCTCTGCCCGTCAGCGGGGTGGTGGGGGTCGGGAACGGGATGCTGTAGTAATCCTGAAAGAGCCCGGGAGGGGGGCAGTGAGCTCCAAGGCTGCAGGCGGCTGGGAGACGCAGGTTTCTGGGCTGCAAGGGCCCAGCGTGTTGGAGCAATGCAGTTCAGATCAGCCACATGGGAGGCTGATCGCATCTGGTAGCAACTCCGGATTTTCTCTTGCATTTACCATCCCCCCTCTCTGGCCACGAGGAGGGCTAGACAAGGTCTACTGGTATGCGTGCTCTGGCCAGCCCCCGGCCCCCTGCAGCGACATGTGGGAGAGCAGCACTGAGCATGAGCGTGCACCACGGAGAACGGTGCCGCCACGGACACACCGACGCCCGTTGGCCAACGCTGCCACCTGGCCCGCACGTCCTGGCTCTCCGGAGACGCAGGCCGACGGCGAGGGTCAGACCCGCACCCGACAGCTCATGGTCGAGGTACTCACCAAGGGGAATCTTGTCTGCAGCATCTGCAAGTCGTCATACCCGTACACCTGCGGCTAAGAGGGGAGCAGGTGCCGCCACGGACACACCGACGCCCGTTGGCCAACGCTGCCACCTGGCCCGCACGTCCTGGCTCTCCGGAGACGCAGGCCGACGGCGAGGGTCAGACCCGCACCCGACAGCTCATGGTCGAGGTACTCACCAAGGGGAATCTTGTCTGCAGCATCTGCAAGTCGTCATACCCGTACACCTGCGGCTAAGAGGGGAGCAGGAGACCGCGTTAGGGACATGGCGCCGGGGGCCGCGCCTGGCCAGCAGCCCAGCCGGAGAACAGAGCGCTGTCCGGCCCCGGGGAAAGACCAGCTCCCTGCACAACACGAAACCGCGGCTGCAAAGTGAGAGGCCGCGAGGGGACTGGCTCAGCTCTCTAGCTTGCAGCTGAGACACGTGGCTGTTGGAAATCCTCATCCAGTACCGGGGCAGTCCCGTTCGTACTTACACACAAGCTGTCGAGTGTTTCACACACACCTATCGTACAGCTAGGCCTGGGCTCCGGGCTGGCCAGGTGCAGGGGGCCCAACAGAATGGGGGCTGCTATGGGAAAGCAGAGCACCCCGGCTAAGATTTGTGGCTCACTGCACCCTGGTTCCCAGCTGCTGGGACTATTCTCCCGCACCGGCAGTGCCATCAGTGCGCCCCTTGGGAGACAGCTCTGGGGTAAGTGTTTGTGCCCCGCTGCTGCCCACTTCCCAAGCCAGCCAAGCTCCCTGGCACTGCTCCAGCCTTCCCCTCCCAGGGACCCGACCAAGAGGTGCTGCTGGGAAGCAAGGCCCTTCGCTCTGCCCTGGGCAGGGATCTGCGAACGCCCTACCATGGCGTGAGCAGCTCTGAGCGTTCCACCGAGAACACCGGGGCTCCCTGGCAGCTGAGCGCTCTTGCAGCCTCCCAGAAGAGATTCCAATGCTGCCCAGCTGATTAGCCGAGCGCTCACCGCCAGCAGCGTGTGTTGCTATGGGGGGTGCACATCTGCCCACACCCCTGTGCACACACAATTTATTCCACATGTGGGTGAAAAACATTCCTGTTTGCACAGCCCACTGCTCCCTCCCGCAGGGCCTCCGCACAGCAGAGGGGCCTCCAAGCCGGCTGCGTCCCAGGCAGCCCAACTAGCCTTTTGTAAGAGTCTGGTGTTGCAAGCTCAAACAGGGCGTCTGCTCGATTGCATCTGGTACCAACTCTGCATTCCTCTGGCACGCTCGGTCCCTCCCCTCCAGCTAGAGCAAGCTAGGAAGGATCTACCAGCATGCCGCCCCTGCGGCCGGCGCCCCCACTCACCGGATAGGCGTGTAGCAGCCCTGGAGCCATGATGTACGGGTTAGGCAACAATGGGGGGACTCCAGGAGGGAGGTTGGGAGGGGCTTTTCCTGAAGGAGGAAAACACGTCACACAGTGAAACAAGCCACCACCAGCTCCGCTTCCCACGCCTCCCCCCCGCCAGCAGCCCCCTGCTCCCGCCCCGGGCCTACCTGACGTGGTCACCACAGAGCTGCGAGTGGAGGCGGTCACTGTGGAGTTGCTGCTGAGGCTAAGGCCCAGGCTGCTGACGCTGCTCAGGCTGGAGGAGACGCTGACCACAGGCGGGGCGGCCGAGACGGTGCTGGAGGAGGTGGAGAAAGTGCTAGCAGAGGGATGGAGGCTTGCGTCACTCTCCACGCTCGTGTGCTAAAGCAGGGGGGAGAGAGCGAGTTAGCAGCCAGACAGGCTCCACGTAGGCAGGGGGGAGACCCAGCTTTGAACTCTCCAGCTGACCAAAAGCACCACGTGGCCGCAGCCAGAACTACACGTGGCTGGGGAAACCCGGCACAGCAAGGGAGCAGCTCCACCCCCCCCCAGGCTGACAAACGTACCCCCAGCTGGCCAACAAAACCAGCTCCACAGCCACCAGGGCCCATCTGACAGCGCCGGTTCCAGCGCCCCAACAGGCAGAGGGGGAACAAGAACAAGGAGGGGATGAGAATCCCCTGCTCTGAAAGGTTCCTGTCCCCTGTTCAGACTCAGGCTGACAGCAAGGGAGCAGCTCCACCCCCCCCCAGGCTGACAAACGTACCCCCAGCTGGCCAACAAAACCAGCTCCACAGCCACCAGGGCCCATCTGACAGCGCCGGTTCCAGCGCCCCAACAGGCAGAGGGGGAACAAGAACAAGGAGGGGATGAGAATCCCCTGCTCTGAAAGGTTCCTGTCCCCTGTTCAGACTCAGGCGTGACCCTGGCTAAGGTGCATCAGCGCATTTCCAGCCTGGGGAGCCGTCGGGCCAACAGCCAGCACGAAGGCCCCCGCGACTCAGCCTGGGACACAAGCCTCCGTCGGCCGGAAGGGGTGCTACCGAAAGCCACCACACTTCACAAGGAAGCCAACGCCTAAGCGAGCCTGGAGCCCTCCCCAGCGCACAGCGAGCACCGCAGCCCTCCGTGAGACCGGGAGAAAGGGACTTCCCTGCTCCGGCCACAGCCACTCGTGTGAGGCGGCCAGGCAAGCCGTCCGGAGCCTTCGCTGGGCACGGAGACCTGCTGGGAGCAGGGGCTGAGCGCATGGCGTGGCCTGGGACAAATCCATTCTGCTGGAGCATCAGCAGCACGGGGGCCAGTATTCCAGCAGCACGGGGGCCAGTATTCCAGCAGCACGGGGGCCAGTATTCCAGCAGTGCGAAGCCGCAGTTCGACCAGCCACAGCGCAGTCTGACCGCGCCTGGCTGCAACTCCGGGTCCCTGTGGCAGAGCCCCCCCCGAATGGAGCATCAGCAGCACGGGGGCCAGTATTCCAGCAGCACGGGGGCCAGTATTCCAGCAGCACGGGGGCCAGTATTCCAGCAGTGCGAAGCCGCAGTTCGACCAGCCACAGCGCAGTCTGACCGCGCCTGGCTGCAACTCCGGGTCCCTGTGGCAGAGCCCCCCCCGAATGGCTACAGCGAGC